GCGAATTCTTATTTATATCTAAAAGATAATTAAGCTACAAGGTGGTAATAAGTATATAGAGGGAAGAGATAAGCTTCGGGTAAGGCGGCCGTACTTCAGGTAGATTATTCTTAGTAGACAGAACTTTTGAAAGGCACATCTATAGATAGTTTTATTAATCTGCAAGGTACATAGTTTTCACTGCGATGAAGCGCTCAAATATGTTGCCGCCACTGATGACAGTTGACACTTAGGTATTGAATAGCATTCTGTCACGGTGCGGAGCCGTACACTCCGAAAGGATCTGCGCGGACGCAGATATCTAAGCTTAAGTATCAGCTACGCAGACAACAAAGGAGCTATGTTGTCTTGTGCCTGCCTTTTTGGCACAGTGGTAGGCACGTGTAGCTGTGTGCTAGGCTACGTTAGGAGCCCTCTCTGACACATTCTGTATCTGCACGAAACTCCGTCTATGCTCGTTGTATATACTATTCGGGCCTAACAGCTATTAAAACAGAATCTTATTAAAATCACCCACTCCCCACGTGAGCCTATCATCTTAAGAATAACAATGTGTTCCAAATATAAACTATATAGAATCTGCTAAGTATTCGATCCGATACACTACTGCACATAGTTCGTCTTAGCAGCTATCAACAAAGAAAAAAACGGTTGCGATTATTCGCAGGAGCACCTGTATGCGTCATAGCACCAAGAAGGTCACAATTTCCTGTAACTGCATCGTAAGCAGCTACGCAACGGTCTGGTCCTGGAGCACCTAGAGAAAACTCGTTAGCAAGTACCACTAGGTATAACATACAGCAAGTATAGAACGTATATCACTTGCTATGTGATTAAACTATTGCAAGGCTTGGACCAAAACTTTACTTACCCCCGTTGTAGGCCCTAGAACCACGTACTAATGGATACTCATACAGGTCTCCCGTATATGACCCAAAGTTCAGAAGTTCGTGGTTCGCGAAGAAGTGAGGGTATCCTCCGGGTCCCTGCCTGTTGTCATACAAGCAGAGAGTTCTGCGGCAGGCCTCCAATTGAGAGTCTGAGTAAACAGTCCCTCTACAATTTACATCACGCTTCTCGAGGATGCTACTTGGAGTGGGAGTTGCAAACGCTATTCCAGCGAGAAGGGAAACAGTGAGTAAAGCCTACAGAAAACTGTTATTACTGAATTCAAGCTATTGAGTGATTTCTTATTGCTCTGACCTTGCTGAACATCTTTAAAAGATTGGTGATAAAAGTTCGAAGGACACAGTTCTTTGAAGTAAGGGAAAAAGTGTTAACGATTGAAGAGCGGTAGCTAAGGATGCTTTAATCTCTGCTTTTAAAATATGCCCTTTATATATAAGTACAGCTCAGGGTTCGACTTAGTCTTACAAATCAATTCACTTCGGTTTTACTAAAACTATTTTATATTCGTCTTAGCTTTGACTGTGTGCCGTGTGAAGCATGTCTAATATTTCGGCGTAATATTCCCGCTTCCAAAGTCCAAGAAAGTCACGGAAGAGAGTTGCAATGATGACTACTGGGAGGCAAGGATGATGCATTGTTTTGTAGATCATCAAATTTCTCATAACGTAATAATTCTTTCTCCATGTAATTTACGTAAGAAGTAGCGAGGCTTGGATTCTTGGGATTACCTAGGTAGGCGTGAGTAAGCATAAGCAGAGTCTTCTCATTCAGAGATCATGTTAATAGAATAGAAACCCCATTACTTTCCGAAAGAAATACTTAAAACCAATTCAGTCTCTACCATGAGATTCAGTATGGGCTTAATGGGTAGAATTTTTGACTTAGGAACTTTCTCTATCCTCTTAATCAATGCAAGATATTTACGTAAGTAATTGTTCTATCACGTGATAAGACTATAGCACTATCTTAGACTCGGCCTTGGTATCAGCTCACGTAAGGTGCTATTAGCTTACCAACTAGGCTCTATATCGGCCATTTCTACAGATATCTTTTTACTGGATTTTGCTAGGTTCTTAAGTAAGCCCTAGATTATGTCACGGCTGGGACGGCCACCAAAAACGGACGGTATATTAAAACAGTATGGTACAAGTGTGTCTATCCCGAGACTGCGGCAGGTAAGCTGGGTACAGGGTCCCAGATAAGGCGCCATACCCAAACAGGGTAAGTATGGCAGCGTCATAAGATATTCGTAGTTTCTACCAAGGCCGTAAGCAAATGTACCACGGTCGTGAAAATATATAAAGGCATCATTGCTCTGCTATTAACATCATCATTCACTTTGTGGTCATACCTTCTCACTATCGACGCTCTTTCCTCTACTTCTCTATCAGATCCAGAATATCCTTTTCTTTCGGTTGAATTTGCTCCAAAAGCTCAAAATCAGTCAAAAGTACAGTCACTTTTCTAGGGATCTCACTTTGCTCTTTTCTAATCCTTCTCAGATGGTCCAGCTGAACACTCTCCTTCTCGCCACCATTGGCCTCGCCATTCCCGCGGTAGCGCAGAAGAACTACTGTGCATCTAAGGACGGCACTCCTTGGGCCAGATCATCGACTGGATTCAGGTTCACGTCGACCAGTTCGTCAACTTGGCAGTGGTCATCTGTCGATTACAACACCGATCTCGTGGTCTACCAGGATTGCAACGTTGTGCAGCATCGACCTGGTAGCCAGCGAGCCCTTCGACAATTCTGTATCGCTACATCCAACAACTATCAGTGTTGGGAGGCTCCCGGTCTCAATGACCCATCTGGATCCTGCTACCTGCCCGACTGCTCTAACATCAACAACATGTGGGCCTGGTTTGATGGTTGATAGTTTGGCGGGTTAATAGGTTGGCGGGTTAATAGGTTGGCGGGTTAATAGGCTGTTGTGTTATTAGGTTAGGGTTAAAGTCATAAAGGTAGAGGAGTCAGCAAAGTCAAGAATTCAATCTCATCCCTCTACCACTATACAGTAACATCCTAGCTCTTAATGGCTCATTTAGCATTGAACAGATTTCCTTTAACATAATAATTACAAAAAGAAGATCTCCTTTCGTTTTTCCTTTATAGACTACTGCACTAATTTGGAAGATGAAAAGGCCCAATAACTAGCCACTTTAGAAAGTAGATACAAGCTAATATAAATCATTTAAATGTAGCCTAAGGAGCGATAAGAAGTCTTTGTATATAAATCAGTGTCTGGAGAATAGTTGTATCATGGAAATCAGCTATCTCAAATAACGTTTTCGCACGACTACTAACTCTACCAGCACTATCACCTTCATCGCCACCTCTACCGCGCCGCTAGCAGAACAATATCTAAACCGCCTCTATTCTCTCAAAATTGCAGTCGTCTGCTTTTAACCACCATTTAGAAAGAAGGTTCCTCGTAATATCCAATAGGACCCCGACGGTTTCCCTTAGCTCAATGCCCAAGACACGTAACAATGTTTCTCTTTATGAATCGTTCCATACGAATCTGAAGATATCTCCATGGCGAAAATGTAATCTAGAGCCAGAGGTCAGGAATCTAATATCACCCCAGGCCCAGTGAAGAGTATTTGTCACCAAGTGTTTCTCAGGCTAGTAAATTTCAGCATTAATAAATTCGGTGCTTCTAGTGATTAGTGCCTGTCGATTTACAGATTGCTATTGCTTACCGCCAGGGAATGTAGGTTCTTTCTTGAACAAAACTTTTACGTCTGCAAACTAGGCACTCACGATAAAAGAGACTCCATTGAACACCATTGTCTGGATCGTTCTCTTGTTCCATGATGTGCCAGGCATAAAGTGGACCTGCGTGACCTAGTCATTTGTTAGTACATAGATACATCTATTTCTCTGTCAAGGCATCATACCACAGCGTTCCGGAAACCGTTCTTCAACCGATGACTGGTCAATAGCAGATTCTTTATCTTTAGATTAGCTATATAAGAGATTTCTCGTAGGAAAACTACCATGGCGGATCTTCAAAAAAGATGATTTAATCTCGAGAGGAACAAGCTTGAAGTGGCTAGCGTTGATGTAAGCTATAGCATTATTAACTGGTGCGTAGATTCAGTTAAGGCGATAACCTTGCCTTGAGTCTCAGGATGAGGTCCGCTAGAAACGGAGGTATCAGGGGTTCTGTCATCGAAAGGGGAGCTTGCAGCAATTCCTAGAAGGTATAGGAGGAAAAGAAGAATTAAAAGTGCATGTTAGCTTGCCTAAGGAATTGAGCAGAGACTGCTATATCCAAATGCAGCGTTGATAGTGTTTGATGTTAGCAAAACGCGATCTTCAGAAAACATTTTACACTTGTTCTGCATATGTAAAGAATAATGTAATACCTTTTCATAGCATCAATTCTCACAATATCACGCCATACTAGGGCCACTTCTCAGTGTTTCAACTGGTGGTAGAATTTAAAGTTTGTGCCAGGCATATTGCAGCAGAAAATTCCTATTAGAAATGATGACTAGTAAAATTTAAACCTCACTGATAACTGTACCAGGCTGAAGATTTACTATGATTATATAAGTGGGTGTTGTACTTACTCTTAGTCTAGTTTCGTGCGAAATAGCCAAATGTACTAGGCGCTTATTGTACCTAATGGTATGTAGTTAGGCATAAAGCTTATCTTACCCGTCTTGCAGCTAGGAAACCTTTTTCTAATTAATAGGAAACAATTGTAGGGGGTGTACTCACGCCTTCTACTACTGTGCCGATAGATGAGTAGTCTAGTAGCATGTCTTGGATATCAATGGGTAGGGATTATTATATGACTGTAAAATTCGAAGGCCTGGCGGAGGCGGTCACCCGGATGAGATAATCCGGTGCAAGATCTGAGGAAGGACTGGTGCCATAATCGCTATTGAAGAGCGGCTCTGGAGCAGTTTACTTGAGTGAAGCTCACTCCGAAATGTGAGAGAACATAATATACTTGACTGACAGGATCATTTAATGTTCACGCGCTTCACTTGATCTTATCACGCCAGCACTCTCGGTCGCATTAAATCTCAGGAGTATTCTACTGCAATCGTCCGCACTTGTGTAGCGCAAAATATCATTTTGAGTGTCCAAGGTCCAGAGGGCATGACACTGATGTTGACAGGGATCCCTGAACAAATTTACCGTGTCGTATCCTCATCTTTGTTCCACTTGAATGGCGGATGTTTGTGTGGAGCATCGAAAGTTCCCTTTATCAATGGTAGTTAGCATCAACGCCAAGTGTCCGAGACGGACTTGGATACCGGCTCAGCTGTGTTTAGGCTAAGCAAAATCCTAGAAAATTGCTCCAAGAATTACTCATCCCCTTTTTCGATTGTTCAGTTGCCAAGGGACATGCGATTTGGTTTGTCGTGAGTTTTGACTTGTAACGGGCATGTAGGTGCCGAAATGAGATAGACTAAAACGATCATTGCACTTTGATAGTAGAGTGGAGCGGTCAAATAGAACATATTATTTGGAGAACAAAGTGATTACTGGCAGATGGAAACAATAACGACATTGAGTGAGAGGGAATTAATGTTGGCAACCTGAAGAAGGGAAAGGCAGCCAAGGCGCCAAGCCATAGAGCGTTTGTCGCGGGCTTATCCACTGCTGCCTCGGAAGGCAGGTATACGTAGACTTTACTGAGGCTATATGAGGATTCCTACTGTAACCCTAGCACCCTAATATATTTTATACGCCTGATACCCATCTTATGAACAATTCTTACACGTATATATGTTGTTAGCCTATGGAATTACAATCTTATGTGTTCCTTAAAGTCCGATAGTTAGCTTGGTCGTGTAACAGTTTCCGCGGCTTGAAATCGAGGCGATATAAGAAATGAGTATACCCTTTGGGAGTAAAACATACTTGTAATTGCATCTATTCTTGGTAGAGTTCTCGTGGGTCCCGCAATCAACTCTATCTAAGACATATACTCCGTGTATTTTTCCTATAATCTCGTTATCTATAGTAAATTTAAAGTACTAGCACCTCTTGAGAAAATTAGTTACTAAGAAGAAAATGGACCCTGGGGTTTCCTAGGCTAATAGAATTCTAGAATAGAAGGTATTGGTGCTAACTGTATTATTTTGGTAGTATTATATGTATTCTGGGCTGATATAATTGATAACACTTGGGATAATGTCGTAGCTTGGGAGAGACAGTGTTCCATTACACTATGCATCCTGGTACGCTTAAGCGTACATTAAAATTAGTATATGTGATAGGATGGAGCATAGGTAAGCAATTGTTCTCGAAGTAATGTTCTAGTTACTATTTTAAACCATCCTGCTGACTGTGGTGTTAAGCAGGGTGTTATGATTAAGGAAAGTACTGGTGGCATTGTATAGTATTTCGGGTTTAATGCTTTACTAGTTACCTATGATGTATACTAAGTGAACATCCCATACTGTGCGTTTTGGAAGTCGAAACAAAACGCACTCTTTTGATGGCCACGTAAGAGGACCTTGAAAAGTGACAGGACGCCAATAAAACAAAAGCACCGCTGATGAAATCTCTTGGAGACCAACACTTGATAGAAGGATTGAAGTGTTACTTAAACAGAAACAGCAATAGCATACCGTCGTCTGAGAGGGATGGAATGATATTTGGCATCCTCAAACTAAGGCAAAAGATTCTAAGCCTACAAGAACCAACTCTACATCGCAATGCAAAATGCGCGGACACCACACCAATCCCCCTTCAACACACCTCCTATCCTTCCCATCCTCACCTCATCCACCCCTCCAACACATTCGCCTCCACGCCCCTCACCAAAACATGCACATGCTCCAAACTCCTCACACTCTGCAAATTCGTCGTATTCTTAAACCAAATCACCTTATCGCCTTTGACCTCCTCACCAGTCTTGGCTCTAAACTCTCTGTTTACAAACGCATCCACCATCTCCTTGCCCTCGGTACTCAGCGCGCCCTCTTCGTCAACAGGGAGCCGCTGCTTGAGCCAGACGACAATATGCGTGATGCCATCTTCAAATGCGTACGTCCAGTCGTTTCGGAGGATTTTGAAATCTGCTGTGTCAGCAAAAGGGACGGGATCGGCGACATTGAAGCGCAGCGCGCCCGTGTCATCTTCAATGGGCTGCCAGTGTAGGCGTTGGTCGAGTAGGTACGCCGTTATGGTACCGTATTTTGCTTTGGCGTGCGCCGTCCATGCAAGATATGCTTTAAGGGAACTGGGCCAGCGTTTGAGCTCCTCAAGCTGATTTGCAGAGATGAGTTCGTGCAGGTTGGACCATGAGTGAGGTGTAAATTCTGCGTCCGTAAGGGAGAGCTGGTGCCAGTCGATTGCGGTGAGGGGAAAAGGTGGATTGTCACGTGGAAAGGGAAGCGCTGTTGGATCAGGGTTGGATTGCCATTGGGATTGAAAGACAGACGGAAGAGATGACTCGTCGATAATAAACTTTGGTGACATCTCGGCGGTATTGGTAGTATTGCGGTTCAGGGATTATTCCTGCCTCACTAGCTCACCTGAGGGGTCCGTGAGGCCAGACGCGGTACAATTACGTGATACTTTCTGGTATGACAACTAGATTTCGATTGCGGTGAAGATTTGAGGCAATTACCGAAGAAATAATCAAACTGCGTCGGTACAAAAGAGTGAGTGAAAGGTTTTTGATAAATAAATAGGCAAATGCCTCTCGGCTCAACGTGTCTGCATATGGGCACGGATGCATTACCCGATTAGGATGATTGCGGCCTATCTTCTAGAGTATCTTACATGTGCATTACCACAGCGTGATTTGAGGTAAATCAAAAAAAAAAACTTGTTTGATTTTAGACCCAAAAGATGGACAGAAGAAGTCTCAGATGGGTATCATGGCCTGTGTTTAGACAAACATATTCTACCAGTCGGCCGCTCTACAACTTTTCAAGCAAGATTCTTGTGCCCGCATTCCCCCGCGACGCAGGTTCCGACTTATCGCCCTTTTTCTGCTTTTTACCCTTCGGCTCCCCATTTTTGCTGCCCGGAGGGTTGGCAGCAGCCTCTAATGCCTTCTTCTCCTTCTTTAATGCTTTCAACACCTCGTCCTTCTTTGCGAAGCCTTCAGCTTCCGTCATCGACACAACAACAAACGACCCTTGGCCAGTAGCCCAGTCAACAATCTTGTCCTTGATCTGAGGCCAAAGCAAATCTGCAAAACCAAGAGCGGGGTCAACGGGAACAACCTTCTTCGCGACTGTGTCGAATTTGCCGCCCTGTACAAGCATCTTGAGCATGTTTTTGCCATGACTTGTGGCCTTGTTGTCACCAGCTGAAGCAGGCAGAGAAGAGTCCAGTATCGACTGTGAAAGGCGTGCGACTTCTGTCAAGGCCTCCTTGCGCTTAGCTGGCTCAACCTCAGGTGCTCCAACAAGGATCTCGCCCATGAATTGCAAGCCAAATGCAAACGAGGCAAAGTCGGCGGCTCGTGCAGTAACTGCTGTCAGCAGCTGCGGTTCAATATTCTTTGCAATCTCTTGCAGACGGACATTCGGGTCCTTCTTGGATGTTGTCTGACGAATGGCATATATCTCAGCCAAACGCTCCCGAGTGTTATCATCCAACAGCCACTTGGCATCAGCTGCGAATGGGTATAACAGAACTGTACGTGCGCGGGCATCGTTCACAAGATTGAGCACCTTTTCGGGAAGGGAATCGTTGTTTGGGAGGAGTTCGCTGAAGACTGATTTCGCAGAAAGTTTGGTGTCATCTGTGACAGCCAATGCGGCAAGGAGAACGTGGTGAGCATGCTGATCGTAAGCCATTATCTCAACAGTGTCCTTGTATGGTCGCAAGAACAGCTTGCGATCCTTTGCAGTGCCGTACGCGAAGCAGAGTGACATCAGTCTTGAGCCTGATTTTGTGAACGCAAGGTTTTTTAACAAATCCACGTTATCAGCCTCCTCGCCTTCCTTCAATGTCGGATCAGGCTTGAGGTGCTCTAGGAAATCATTTGCTTGCTCGGTGCCGGGTTCGCAGACTAGGAAGTACTGAAGCATAGCGTCGTGCAGCATGGTAAATCCAGTCAGCTTCTTTTGGATGAGCGAGTTGATTTGGTTCTCCAAGTAGTCCATGATTGGCTTCTTCTTCTCGGGCGACTCTTTTATGATGGCCGAGAGCTCTGCGCTGTCTGTGCCTTGAGCTCCGAGACCCTTGATGGAAAACTCGGGTCCATACCACTCTCGAAGTAGGCGGTTCTTCTGCTCGGGGGTAGCGACAGCTCGATAGATATCGTCAACTATCCATGCGGCTTCGGGATGGTTGATCATGCGCTTGACATGACTGTAGAACTCGGTGATGATAAGGTCGCGAATCTCGGGGTCGCTTTGAAATTGAGATGTTAGCACGACTATTGCCTAGAACATGGCTGATTGACTCACCCCTTCTCTACCAATTTGGCGATCAAAAACTTGGAGTATTTGCCCTCGGCCAGAACCTTGAACTCTCCCTTCAGTTCGCGGGCAATCATTCTTCTTTGCTCCATGGTTGAGTATTTGATAGCAGTCTGGATGACACGCACAGAGTCGTGCTTGAAGACGAAGTCTTTGACCCGGCCAGTGATGATGTCAAACAGTTCCTTGACGAGTTCCTTCCTCTCATCCTTGTCAACATGCGACTTGAGCCTAAGCTTCTCCCAAAGTTTCTTGGAGCGCTCAATGATGTCTGCGTTGGGCTTCGCGGCCTTGCGTTCTTTGGCGAGGGCTTTCTGTTTCGCATGCGCTTCCCGCGAGTTGCTTACTAGAATTACTGTTAACCAGAGGTGTCAATTGGAGAAAAGAATGGAGCCTGACCGTTCAATCCTGCCAGTTTCGATTCCACACCATCGCCCTTGGGCTTTTTGGAGCCATCGCTTTCGTTCTTAGGCTTCTGTGTGTTGCCATTGGTCTTTTCAGCTTCTTCGCTGCTTTCCGCATCGCTCATCTCCACATCCTCGCCGTCGGCAGCAGAAAAGTCGTAGAATCCATTGTCCTGTTCGCTGGTGTCTGACTCGTCGAGTTCGCTGGAGCTCTCCTCCTTCGCCTTCTTGACTGGCTTGACCTCGTGCTTCGATTTGGACTTTGACGTCGACTTGTCAACTTTGACTTTCTTGCTCTTGTCCTTTACGTCAGGCGCATTACCTCCTGCGGATTTGCGCTTGATTCCAGCCATGGCGGGTATGGATATGTAGTGTTGCGGGCCTGAAGTTTGTGTTCGCAAAAAGTCGCGACTTTCCCAACTTTTTCTCGAAGCGCGGGCCGGGATTCGCCAGCCACTAATCCAAATAGAGATAGTGCGGTGGATATCCCACCTGTGACCCATCATCGTTCCCAAGCATTTCGCGACAATTCCATCTCATGCTGTTCATCAAGTATGAGCATTCGTACTGATCAGCTATCCATTCTAATGAGTCTCCTTCAATATGGGTATAGATCTTGCAACAACTTCCATTTTCGGCAAAATAAATGTGTATGTATATAGCCAAGGATACGAAATAGCCATGCATTGGGTTGAAGATGAGATGATTGCTGGTGAGGAACCAACGCGCTCATATGATCCATCCTACAGTTATTCGCTGCTAAAATGCAATATAATATCCTGTTGTCAAAAAAATGCTTCTTCAGTCAAGCTCAGACCCAAATAGCCCAGAATCATGACTACCCATTTCAAGGCTTGGTATAATTCTCTCCGCCTCTTAAGCATCTCCAGTATAACTCATGGGGCATTAACTACCTTAAGCAAGACTATCACTATCCATACTATCCACCTACCCATCTCTCAAGCAGCTGCGCCAACGCCAACGCCAAGCCCAATCCTCCAACCCACAATCGATAAGGCACGTGCCATCGCGACGGCTACCCTGCGTTTTGCGCCTGGAACCTTAGTTCCATCATCGCCTTTCATTTTCCCTTCTCTTCCACTTGCACCTTCTCCACGCACCCACACACTACCACACACTACCATACCGCGCTCCACCTTCTCGCTCAGCAAGAACAACCATCAATCCAAAAGAAATCAAATAAAACAAAAATGTCACAGCAATACTCCGGCGGCAACACCACAGACAACCAAACCACAACCGTCGACGCAACCGCTCGAACCGTCCACTACAAGTGCGGCGACTGCGACATGGACGTCCCGCTTAAGCGCGGCGAGCCAATTCGCTGCCGCAACTGCGGTCATCGCGTTTTGTACAAGCAGAGGACGAACCGGTAAGATTAGTTTTCCTCTTTGTCCTGCGTTGTCCCAGTGTTACCTGGGGAAAGCCGTGGAAAACATGAGAAAGGTTTGGGCGTATGAGTGTACAAAGGCTGACAATATGGCAAACACAGTATGGTGCAGTTTGAGGCGCGATGAGGCGAGCGCACACGACCAAGCGGTTTTCATGTGCGTCAACGCGAGAGAGAGAGAGAGAGAGAACATGGGGTTCACACGATGTGAGGCAATATTTGGAATAAACAAGTCGACGGGAGATTTGAAAAGGCAGCTATGGTGGATGTAATACTTTACCAGCGGGGACATCCGGTCCCCATAAGGACGGTGTATGGCGTTGGAACGGATAACAAGAAAGCACCGCTGTTACCTCGAGAATGGGAACGGTACAACAGATCGAACCCTCACATTAAAGCAACGGGAGTAGGTCGTACCTTTCTTAGTACGGGCTTTCAGCTGTTCAGTACCAATAGAGCAAGGACGCACCAACACGGTCAAGTTCCAGACACAGCTCAAAATGATTCAGATAACATTTATATCTTCTGTAGTAAACTCTTTCAATTCCTGTCTTATCCACACCCTTTCGCCTACATCTTCCTAGCAACAATGCATTGAAAAAAAACTTTACTTTCGCTTTGGTTTTGATATAAAAAAAAACGTTCAAAAGACAGCTTGAGCTCAAAACATATCCTAGAAACATAATTGAAATAGCTTAATATGACTGTGCGCCCGTCGCGTCGGTCCGCCAGGGAAAGGCAGGGTGTGCAGAGAAGATACAAGCACGTGAAGAATGTGAGCTCAGATGATGTGGGTATGAGAACTATTGCGCCTACGAGCCGCGGAAGGCATCGAACCGCTTATATGTGTATCCAATGAATGGCAAGCTCGTCGCGTACTCGTCTTCACCTGCCTGTGCTGCCTGCGCCCTGTGAGCAGCCGATGTATCGTTTTGGTCAATCTCGTCAATAGGGAAGTATTGCGTGTCAATATTTGACTGCAGCTTGGGCTCGAAAGGTGCGCGAATGCGGCGCAAGCCATCCCATGACACGCCGCGGAAGAAGGGGTGCTGCTTGATTTCGTTGGCGCCGCCAATACGACCAAGACGGTGATCAGCATCACAGATCAGTCTACGTTTGTTAGTCATGAACTAGAATAGCTACGAGAACTTATCCAAAGACATACCTTCGAACAAAGTCTTCGGCCTCGGCACCAAGCTGTTGGTCTGGAGGGAAGTGCAGGTTGCGCGGCCAGTCGACAATCTTGCGGTAAGTATCATGAGGCTCTTCAGCGCAAAACGGCGGCCAGCCGATAAGGCACTCGAACATAATTGTGCCTACCGACCACCAATCGCAGCTGTAGTCGTAACCCTGGCCGCTAAAGATCTCAGGCGCAATGTAGTCGGGGGTACCAACGGTGGAGTACGCGAGCTGTCGGCGAGATTTACGCCATGTGTTGATTTGAGTACGGTTGCTGACTGTCAGCTGGATCTGGTCGAGATTCATTGACTGTCGGTTGTCGCGGTTTGACTTGTGTGCGCCACCAGCAAGCAGCTTCTTGTAGTACCCAGCATCGTGCTCCTTGTGGAAACCAGTTGACAGACCAAAATCCGTTAGCTTGATGTGGCCGCCCCGGTCGAGAAGAATGTTGTCAGGCTTAATATCACTTGGGAGTGTTAGTGAGTCCATCTTGGAACGTGATTGCCAAAGTACATACCGATGTATGAAGCCAAGCTTATGGACAGCTTCAATTGCAAGAGTAATCTCAGCCATGTAGAAACGTGTGATATCCTCGGTGAAGATTTCATACTTGATGAGCATAGTCATCAAATCACCACCTGGCAAGAACTCCATGAGCATGTAAAGGAAGGTATTGTCCTGGAAGGTAGTGTGTAGTTTGACAACCCATGGGCTGTCGGACTCGGCGAGAATGTCACGCTCTGAACGCACGTGCGCCAACTGGTCTTTCTTGAACTATTCAGAGTTAGTCTGATGAGTGTGCTTTTGGTCTTGGAGTGGTTGTGTACCATTTCCTGCTTGACAAGCGACTTGAGTGCATAGACTTTGCCATCGTTGCGTCGTTGGACCAACTTGACCTCTCCAAAGGCACCCTTGCCGATAATCTTGAGAGTCGTGAAGTTCTCAGGCTTCTCTTTTGTTCGTAGGAATCGCAAGTATTCGACTTCGGCACGGCGCATGCTATTTTCCTTGCTCGCTTTTCGGCTGTCGGAGATGGATGGCTCCTTCATAAGGGCCTCGAGTTCGAGTGCTCTACACCATGGTTAGTCTGATGCATGTAGGGAATGGGGCAAAATCCCACCTTTGGTTCCTGTCGCGTGCTCGCTGGACACTGTCCTTGAAGAAGGTGTTGATGAGGCTTTTGGACACCATGGCCTGCTTTTCTACATTCTCCGAGTATTTGCCGGGGTTCCTTTGGGGCGCCTCTTCATCGTAGAGTGAAGACGGTCGTGGACCCGAGCCGCCCTGACTTCCATAGCCATATCTGTTGTCTGCTGTACGGGGACGCGTAGGGTTTGGAGAGCCTTGGCGGCCATAAGGACTTCCTGAGCGGCCGCCTCCGAGATGCTGGTGTGAGAGTTGTTGGGCTAAGCCGTTGGCACTTTGATCAAAACGCTGGCTACCTTGGCCCTGGAGGTTGCCCTGTTGTCCCTGGTATTGCGCTTGCTGATAGGGATTCATGAAGTAGCCGCCGCTGCCATAGCCATTGCCTTGTTGCTGAGCACCCCAGACCTCTTGCTGACCAGCCTGATTCGGGTACACAGGTTGCGGGAAGGTCGAGGGGGTTGTGGGGAATGCTCTACCGGCTTCCTGCTGGTACTGATTGTTGCGGTCACCGTTATTGAAGCCAAAGTTGAGTTGGAGCCGGTTAGACTGCTGATTGTTGTTGTTGTTGCTCATGGTGGGCCTCCGCAATCGCTCTTGAGGGGGGAGTCGGTGTAGTGAATGATGGGTATCAAGTCGGGCTCGAGACAAGCAGTAAGATGGGCGATATGCCTGGACAAGGGGAGCAGCAGTGCCACAGGCTCACGGGATTGAGGAAAGATCCACGGCGACTACTGAGGAATCTTCAGCGCGCTGCTGGCAAGAAGAGGGAGGTGCTGGGGACTGCCGCAGTAGCTCGGTCAGGGATAAGTTTAGGGCGCAGGGACCAACTTCAGGCGGGGAACAGACATGGCCAACAGCAACTCGGTGCGTTTCAAAAAGCCGTTTGTTGCCCAACTCCGGGATTATGGTCACGCTTGTATACAGCCTTATTCATTCTGCTTCAGTCCCCACGGCCAGATCGAGTCATGGCTGCACAGTTGCCGTCGCCAAGTACATACTGACATGTGTATGCGCATACGCCTCGAGGCCCCAGAAATCGACAACGGCGAGCTCCCTACTATATCGATACGTACGCACGCCACCGCCCACCGCCATCGGCCCAGCTAACGGCACACGCAAATACGCAAAACTCAACCAAAGCAGCCACGCGAGAAGGCAGCATGGATCAGTGAGACAAAGCCATGGCACGCCACTTTGTGTGGTGGCGATATACTCCCAACTAAGGCACGTGTATGTAGTAACACGTGGCTACTGACACAAGTACAGACAAAGGCATTGTGATTGAGCGACATTCGACCATCATCCATTACACCATTATTATAGTACAACTACAACATGCAGAACCCTGCGCGAGGGTACAGATCCATCCACATTGAGCAAAATGCTCCCAAATAAAGCCCCCCTCCGGTCACTCTCCTCGATAGACTGCCGCGGGTCGGATATAGAAAGGTCGCGTAACACTGACCGCCAACGGGTATAGAACATTGTCGGCCGAAGGCTGCCGACTGCCCACAGGCAAAGGTATTTAATAAGACAAGATATGTAAAGGTGAAGTGTAGTATACGTATGATCGTGGCACCCATGTAAATGCAATGGGTCGTTGGGAAACGCCAAAGATGCAATAAGGGTGTATGCCTGAGACACTATAGTCGTCTCGAAGAGGGCTGGCGGTTGGTAGGAAAAAAAACATTACGTAGTGGGTAAGTGTCGCAGTCTCATCGTTAAAGCGGCTTATGCAGTTGTGACCATCAAGGCCTTGACTTTTTCGCGCTCGGCAAGAATCTCAGCTTGAAGTCCTCGGGTTTGCCTCATGGCCTCGTCCCTATCCAAATGTCAGTGGCAATCATCAAGTTTTCTTCATCTGCAAAAGACATACCTCTCAAACTGCAGGTCGGCCACCTCCATCTGAGCGAGGTTCATGCGGCCGACAACTTCTTCCATTTCGTGATCAGCATCTCGGAGAGCCTTCTCGAGCTCCTCTACTCGCTTCTCGAGCATCTCCGTCTTAGTGGCCTCAGCAAATGTCATGGCCGGTCCGCTCGTCGTTACCGTCAGACGGGGCGACTTCTGGGCAAAGACGGGAGATGGTGGCAACTTGGGAGAAAAGGCAGAGGGACTGAGTAGTCCAGACTTGACGCGGCGCAGGTGGTTAGTATGGCCCTCCTTGAGAGCTTGCACCTCGCCTTCGTGACGTGCAATTGCCTCTTCCGATGACTGTTGGGCAAGCATGACCTTGTCCTCTGCCGCCTTGAGCCTCTTTTCGAGCTGGACAATCTGGTCGGTCGACTTTTGCTGCTCCTGTTCTCCGCGGATGATAGCCTCAGTGAGACGTCCTCGCAGAGCGTTGTTGGCAGTCAGCTGGTTTTGAATCTTGTTGGAGAGTTCGTCCATTCGGGTAGCGGCAGCAAACAGCTCCCTGCTGAGTTGCTGCTCCTTGCCGAGGTGTTCAATCTCGGATTGTTGGAGGGCACGCGCTTGCTGGCGGTATTGCTCAGCTTCGCGTTGGGCGTAATCACGTTCGGCCTCGGCATCAGAGATGCTCTGCTTGAGCAGGTCCAGCGTTCTCTCTGTTTCAGCGCTAGCCGCCCCAAGCGAGTCTGCGTCACTTGTTTCTAGCTGTTTCACACGAGCAAGAGACAGCGCGTGCGTAGTTCGCAGCTCGTTGTAAGCCTTGTCCAAGGCCATGGGTTCGTTTTCGATGCGGATTTCAGGTATCGTGATGTCGTGTTCTCGGAGAAGATCACGGAGCGAGCTGGTTTCTTGCTGAGCACGATCCAGATCCATTCGCAATCCACCCAAGCCCTTTTCACACTGCCATTTCTGCTCAAGTGCTTCATCTGCACGGCGTCGAAGAGAATCGACCTCTCGTCGCAGTCCCGTGACCTCCTTGTGGAACGCAGTCCGTCGGGGAGTGAGGTTTAGAGCAGCATCCCTTTCGGCCTCTACCTCCCTAATGCGTCGCTGGAACTCTCTTTGCTGCATCTCCTGTCGTTGGAGCAGATGTTTCAATGCTTTGTGTAGCGCATCTCGCTGCTCCTCGAGTTCCTTCATTGGGTTGCTGACTGCCGGTGCACCTACAGGAGACATGTCACCTGACCTATCCTTGACAGAATTGGACCGTGACAGTGAACCCCTCTTGGAATTGAGACCAGCAGAACTACGAGCTAGTGAGTTTGAGCGTGTCAGACCAACGCGCATGTTTGATAGGGGCGTGATGTCTGCTTCCTCGGCAATTGATTGAAATTGAACGGGTTGTCCCTGTTGTTGCAAAAGCTGCTGTTTTCGGGCTTTGGCGAGCGATTCATTTTCGCTTCGTAATTGTTTGATCTCTTGCTGCATGCGGGTGGACTCGTAGACGAGTTTTTCAGTATCGGCGGCATCTGCCTCCAAGACTTCTAGTCGAGCCCTGAGCTGTGGAACGACTTCGTCGCGCAAGTTGTCAGCCTCGTTGCGGTGCTTCTCCAGTTCTTCACGGAGGGCTGTCAGGAGATCTTCAAAGTTCTCCTTAACCTGCCGCTCCTCAGCCAGACGCCTTTTGGCATCTTCAAGCGACAGTGCCAGCTCTTTGACCTGTGGTGCTTCGACGACTGAGCCTACTCTAGATTTATTGCTAACCTGGTCCTCAAGCTGTTGCACTTGCTCTTCAAGATCTCGGCGTCGGCGAAGCTCTTCTTGTAAGCGCTCAGCCATGCGTACTTTGAGAGAAGCGCGCTCTTGCTCGGCTTTCCTACGTTGCGTGTCCAGCTCCTCAAGCTTGGATTCTGGATCGGTAATGGGGAATCGAACAGAGCTGGTGCCGGAGTCTGAGTAGTAGTCACTGGTCCGTCGGTTATCTGAGATGCCAGTAGAGCTTTCGGCTTTCCACCGCTCCACCTCATCCTCGAGTTCCATCTCTCTTTGAATCGAGGCAGCGAGCTCGGAGCTGACCTCGCGCAGCTCGCGCTCCAGCTCCTCGACATGAGCATTCATCTGCGGCGAAGAAGATAAAAGTGGGGTTCCGGGGATGTTGAAGTATGAACCCATGGAGTTGGCAGCTGGTATATCTAGGCCGATGGGCTTGGCCTTGTTAGATCTGCTGAAGCGTGGGGAGTCTAAGTTTGGAGAGCGTTCGGAATAGCCTGTACCCGCTGACTCGGGGCCGTTTTGAGCGCGGGAGTTCCAGCCAAAGAAGGAGGTGAAACCTCCTCCTCCCGGGGACTTGGGCTTGTTGTTTTGCTTTGATCGCGAGTCTCCTTCGGGGCTGTAGGAGTAGGTGTCCATGAAGTCGTCTGTAGCGCCGTCTATGTCTAACTTTGGTTGTGGTCGTTGTACGTTGTTTGCGGTGTTGTACAATGGCATATTCGGCATGGTAGGAGAGCGGGTGTGTATTCCGCTGATGCCAAATGCCTTTAGGGCGTCTGACCTGCTCTGCTGGTGGGGGTGTATGCTGCTGGCTGGTCGGTCATGCCTTGGGTCTGGCAGGGTGGGCGTCACAGGGAAGCTTTTAGGGGACGTGGATGCAGGCTGCGGCGTAGTTTCCGTTAGAGGGGTCCGTCCATGTGGGTTACTTTGGAGAGGTGTTAGCTAGGGCAGGGGAGGCACAGGCGGGCAGCGGCGGGAGAGCTTACTCGTCAAGATTGCGAGGGACGAAGAGGTCTTCGTCAGTGACAGGCGGTGCGAGGCTGCTATTAAGCGATGGTGCGGCAGTAGTAGCAATTGGCCTATTGAACTGATCGACAGGAAAGCGGCCTGCAATGGGCGAGTCTACAGGCAAGGGCTTTCTGCGGACGGGCGGCGACTGGAGGCCGAAAGGAGGAGGAGGAGCAGCAGGTTGGGGAGCCTGGGACCGAAAGGCAGCAAAGGATGAAATGGCAATGGAGGCGAGGGAAGAGGCCTTTTGGCGTGGCGGCGAGGCTGGCAGAGGGCGCGTGTCGGCGCTGGACGCTTGGACGGTTTGCATATTGTCGTGTTATTCCCCCGCGACACGGATATGTAGGTACATGACCTTGCACAAATGGGGGAGCTTGATGAAAGTCGAGGGGGTCGCCAAAGACGGTTGCTGGCAAAAGGAGAGTTTACTAGCAGGATTAGGGCCAGGAGTGGCCAGACGCGGCGCTTGGGGAGCGTCGTCTGGGCAGATCACCGCGCGCGAATTGGCTGGAGGGCGGCGCTTGTGCGTGCGGACCAGGCCTGTCATGGGCAGTTCGCGCTGCCTGAGTCGAGAATGCGTGCCGTGCCAGGGGGCAGCTGGGGGGCTGCGCTCGGATCTGCAGGTACACGCCTTTTTTTTTATCCGGCCAATTGGCGATGGTGCCTGGCTAAGTCGGGATGCTCGACATGAGGGTGTCCTGGGTGCGATGGCGGGCATGCAAATGGACAGCCGGCATGAGTCTGGTGAGCCTGGCGAGCCTGGCATGTGTCGCGCGCTCCGGCTCGAGCTTGACGTGTGCGGTGGCGGGGGTGGTGGACGTCAAAGGATGAGGCCGTGAAACGCTCCGCAAGGCTCTCAGACGAACGGCCTGCCTCCTTGGGGCCCTTGGGGTCTCGGCTGCGCTGCTGGATTGCAGCAACCTGACAGACGATAAGCAGTCGACATGGCACACCACCCACCGCCTTGCTATTCTGGGGCACACGACCACCACGACGCCCGCCCGCAACGGGTGGCTTGCATTGGCCAAGGGCCAGCCATGGCGCCGCTGGCTCGCGCACGCAAGTGCAATTTCGTCCGCCGCCCGAATGGGGTGGCCTGCGCCAAGCCTGGCACCCTCGCCCGCGAACGGCGGGCTGTGCTCGTCGCCGCCGCATCGCACCACCACCACAACCACGACGACATGAACACGGCCCCTGAAGCGCAATCTAATCCTGCTGGCCAAACCCATCATCCTCTGCCGCCGCCGCCACCTCGCTCGCCCACGCCGTCAGGCAACATGATTGCAGTCGTCGCACTTGCCACACGGACTCCTGCACACACACGCACACACACGCACACACACACTCGGCAATGGACCTTTGACCCTGACCTGCATAACTCTCATGCTGCCATTATGCAAATGCCCCTCTCCTCCCCTCCCCCAGTGCTATTCTCATCCCCTCCGCCGACCGCCCTTGCCCGTGACCCTTATCTGACACTAGGGGCCGCCCATCTTACGTCGTACACACCCAGCGGCATGCTTAATGCTCCGATACGAAGAGCCCCGCCGCCGCGCTTCATGCCGAGCAACCATGACCCCTTCCTTCATCGCCAACCTCCAACCCGGCCCTCATCCCAGCGCTCTTTCCGCTCCGCACGGAGATAGGCAATCTTACGCCCTTCTCTCAGTCGGCGCACAAAGTCTGTCACTTCGCGCTCACTGGCCACGGCCTCTCCGCCGCCAAATCCCTCGCCATCCAGGAAACTCTCCTCGAGCCCCCGGCACAGGGCTTCTTGCTCGCCTACTGCCGCACTCAATCGTTGATATAGTGCAGGTGGGCTGAACTCGCGCAGTGCTTCGTCTTGCTCGCTCTGCTTTGCTCTCCACTGCCGCTCCAAAGCACGCATCGCCAGCAGACGTGACTGTACGTCATCGCGCTGGTGCCGCACGTGTGCTTCAAGCTGCTTGAGTGATTCGGCAAGTCCTATGTTCTGTGCTAGCAATGTTTGCAAAGGTGCCGTCGATGCAGGTAGTGAGCCATGTCTTGTTTCGGGATTGTGAATTATCGCATGCTGTAGTTCTGGTGTTTGCAGCACATGATGCAGATCCTTGGTCCTAACCCGTCACCTTAGCAGAGGCCTTGTCGACATGCAAGAGCTGACGTACGACTTGTCCTTGAGCACATCCGGCAGCCATCCATCCTCTGGTCCTGGCACTGCTACTTGGTCCGAGACTTGGTGTCCAGGTTGTTGATACTGTGTCTGCGAGTGCTGCTGCGGGTCCCCAGATGACGATGCCTGGCCTGGCGGGGGCGGCAGCGGAGGGCCCTGAGATGGCGTTGCTGTTCCACTCGCACGTCCGGGCTTGGGCGGCGGGGGAGGTGGTGTCGATGCGTCGTATTGATAGAATTGCTGTGAATGGCGCGGTGACGAGTATGCCATGGTATGTGCTGCGACTTAGTTGAATGCCCGTACAGTAGGTAGTGGTCGCATGTGACGCGGGCCATGAGCGTTGTTGCTAGCGCGTCGGGCTGATCTGATCTAATCTAATCTCATCAGCGCACCCCTGCACTGAGGCCACAGCAGCGTCTACTTACACTTTGAAGCTGTGGACACGTCTGGACGCGCCATTCTGCTGCCTGCGCACTCTGATCCTCGAGCACTTTGATCCTCCCTCTCCTTCCTCTACACCGATTCTCCTCTCCCGCAACTGGCTTAGAGCAAAAAAAATGGTATGCACACCCTTCCCCGCCAAACACCCAACCAACCCAACCCGCTAACCCGCCATTGTCGCAACACAGGCCAACGTTATAGCCAACTCGGGCCACGATGACATGATAGTACGTTTGCATACACGCCCGTCTGCCCATCTGTCTTCCCCGTTAGGGCGCTCTTGCTGCCACAATGGCCGTCTCAATTACAATACCAGCATGTTCGGGGTGGCTGCTCACAAGTTATAGCATGATGCTGTTCTGGACTACTATGGCCGACGATTAGCGACTTGTTCTTCGGACAAGACAATCAAAATCTTCGAGGTCGAAGGCGACAAGCACACATTGGTAGAGACGCTCAGAGGGTACGTCATAACCAGCCACGACTGCGCAACCAGGTCACAATTCACCGCTTACTCGTTGACAGACACGAAGGTGCTGTGTGGAGTGTCGCATGGGCGCACCCCAAGTACGGCAACATCCTCGCCTCCTCCTCGTACGACGGCAAGGTCCTCATCTGGCGCGAGCAGTCCAACAGCTGGCAGAAGATTTACGAGGTCGCTCTTCACACTGCCTCGGTCAACCTTGTCGCATGGGCACCCCACGAGGCAGGCTGCCTACTCGCATGTGCTTCCACCGATGGCAATGTCTCCGTACTCGAATTCAAGGACAACAACTGGACACATCAGCTTTTTCAGGCTCATGGAAGTGGCGTCAACAGCGTATCATGGGCTCCTGCTATTGCGCCTGGACAAGTCGTCAGCGCGGGCGGCAACCAAGTGGCGGCAAGGCGGTTGGTGACTGGTGGAAGTGACTGCCAGGTCAAAATCTGGGAATTCAGCCCCGACAGCGGCAGCTGGCAAAACCTGCAGATACTCCCGGGTGGTCACCTGGACTGGGTGCGCGACGTGGCCTGGTCACCCACTGTTTTGTCAAAGTCATACATTGCCTCTGCCTCCCAGGATAAAACTGTCATCATCTGGACCTCTTCGGACTTGCGAGGCGAATGGAAGCGCACTAAGCTCGATGTTGATGCCGCTGCCTGGCGTGTCAGCTGGAGCTTGAGTGGCAACGCCTTGGCCGTGAGCACTGGCGATAACAGGGTCAGTCTCTGGAAGGAGCGGCTCAGTGGCGGATGGGAGTGCGTCAAGACAATTGAGGAGTAGATTGTTGTGCAAAAGGAGAGCTGGACCTTGTAGTACATTCAACCTCAGTTAGACAGTCGAGTGTAATTATACATGATGAATGCCTATTTGCCATTGTGATGGAGTGCTTCATATACTGACAAAAACAATGCATCTACTGAGACTAGGGTCAGTTGAAATCTACACCCGAGTCAGACATGTCTACAATGGTCACTGCTGATTGCAGCATAGCGAACATCTAGGTTGTATGATGAGTTCATAGCAGAGTTGTTGTTTGCAGGAGCATGCACAAAGGTTGCAGACCACTACTACTATTACATCTCCTCAGAGCTGGAAATTTGTATCCCGGGCTTTGCCATGGTGGTTTAGTGGCTGTAACATGGTGCGTACGATTGATCATGCCACGTGATGCACGTCAGGTATGTTTTTTTTGTAAAAAAAAAAGGGCTTCAAAAAGAACATTGATGAATTCAAAAACATACAGCAGCGGTTAAAAGTCACTAAACACCGCGGGGGCTAGTGATATTAGCCAAAATGGCAATTTGGAAGCTTTCTCGGAGCTAATGTGGCTTTGTTCTTGAACTTCCGCATTTCTTTGGACCATTTTATCTTCAACGCTTTATCATAGTGCTATACAATGTCCCTACCCATGATATTCTTACTTTCAAAGCTGCTGGAAACATCTACCTCAAAAACAGAGTCAAGAGGGGGTTGAACGCAAACTCGTTCTTGTCCAGAAGATCATTTGATTTAACAGGCAGTAATGAGTACCAAGAGGGGTAAGAAAGTGGGAGGATTTACAGCAGAAGATTTCCAGTGTACCAGGAAACTGTCCAAAATTAAAAGATAGTTGTTAATACCTCTCAGGGTTAAGGTGGTATAAAGACTTTCCAAAATACTCCTCCCCACGCTCTACAAGCCTTGCGTACTACTCACTCAGTTCAACTTTAGAGCCTTCTTCTTCAGGTCCTCTATAGCCACGCCATAACGCCAGCCTAACAATCATCACCAACTTCAGGATTGATCAACACCGTGCACTCCCTACTACTCAAGCCATATAGTACTCCGTCAAAGGTGTGTGTGTCATCGCAATCGCAGCCATGGTAGCACTGTTTCAGGCAGGATCTGTCTCCATCTTGAATGCAGTTAGCCAAAGCACTGATACATGTATGCATACTATGCAGTGTGAAACGTACAATGGCATGCCATGGCCCCCCCAATACAGGTTCTGGCAGATACCGCACTGACAGTGAGAAGAATAATGAGGGTGGAGAGGCTTTTCATGTTGGTTTGATGGGTAGACGAAGTATAGGTTTGGATAGCAGATTCTGGTTATTGATAAGTTGATGGTTTAGTGAAGACACCATATCCGTGAAAAGTGAGAGAGAGGGATTTATATATGTATGTAATTAAGACTGAGATTCAGCTTTAGGCTGAGATAGGAAAGAGAGTCAAGGGATCTTCATTCAAAGAGGACATGGTGATCCTCTTACTAATTAGTTTCTTTCAGTCCACCAACCAATCTGCTATCTACTAGCCTCTAGTCAACCGCGGTAGTTTCCCCTCGTAAATCACCGAAGTGTTCCGTGCTCTGAGAAGTAATCTAGGAAAAGTTTTAATGACCACGCGATAAAAATTTAAACTGACACGTAGTAAGCAGAGGTCCTTGCTTAGCGTATATACTAAAAGATTTAATAATTTTTTCTCCGGTAAGATAGAACAATGAAAAACAAGTATAAAATACGCCTCTCTTGTTTATCTTCTCCCTTCTTTTTCTCCCTAGTCTCTCCCTTCTCCCTTCTCCACCTCTCCAAACTCTCTCTTCTTCTTCTTCTTCTTCTTTCTTTTCGCTATGTCTCTGTTCTCTTTTTGCTTTCTTCTTACTCTTTAAAAAAAGTAAGAAGAAAGAGAAAGTAGAGAAGAAAGACAGAAAAGAAGAAGAAGAGAGAAGCGAAAACAAAGCTTAGAGAACAGCCTAAGCTAGAATAAGAGAATCATTACGTAATCGGCTTAAAGAGAGATAGACAGCGTCATACTAGAGGCAGTCCTTGCTTATTGCATGTCTATTTGACTTCTTATCGCATGATCGTCTACTCTTTGCCATTAATCTGGCCCCACTGCTTACACTAACTCGCTAGAGTAGCGTTTTATGAACGGTCTAATACACCTGATCAATTGACCAGCGTTCAAGAAATTATTCATTGTACCTATCCGCTGTATCAAAATGTGTGCACCCATAAATAACTCCTTTGTTTGTCTGACCGGCATTCCAAATCTTCGGGCCGTTTTGAAGGATATCAAACAGAAAATCTCATTAGCGTCTAGCCTCTCTCCTGTAGCTGGAGGAACTTCGAACAAATGGTGGACTGATACATCTGCTAATCTAAACCAACGATCCAGTCAAACTATATACTTCTCATCTAAGCCTAACTCCATTCGGTAATCCAACCCAGCCTTCATCTGGTTCGTCATTCCTTCAATCTAATCTTATCAGATGAATCCGGTGGAAATCAGACGGATCATGTGATCCGGGTCAGCCTGGTCCATATCCGACTGACCCTCTGACACTGCGACACCCTCGTAACGGAACAACACTTGTAATGGAACGTCAACGCCACTTTCTCCCACCCAACTGCATCAATTCCTACCGCATAGCCTATATTTTCTTGGAATACACACCTCGACTCTTTACCTCTCCACAGACTTAATTTCTTTCGTCGTTGTTTACTTGCTTAACTTGCAATACTACAAGCCGCTGTTAGGCTACGTATCAATGTGTACCACCTTAGACTTCCTCAGGCCTTTTATAAGCCCCTTTGTATCTTTCTAAAAGCTTGCGAACTAGTAAAATCCGGTGTCAAGGTAGCATTCCGAGCAAGTTGTTAATCCCTCAACGAGCTGCTTTCGCTACAGGAATGACTTGTTACTTGATGAAATCATGCAGTTAAACAGCAACTGATTGTCCTGATTTGTAGAAGCCGCCCGGCTTTTCGTATTCTAACCGCCGTAGAGCACAGAACTAGGTGAGTTTCGTTAATAAAGCTGCATCGTTCAGGTGATACGTAGTTAGAGGCTTATAATGTCCCGAACCCCATGCAATAAAACACTACTAGTGTAAGAGAGATTTCCGAGAGAGAAATACACAAAGAACGGTGTAGGATCTTGTATAAAGAGTAGGTATTCGCCAGGGTTTTCACAGATGGGCACAAAATATGTATAAATTAGAGTGGATAAGACAAAACCTTGATGAGTAACGCAAGGTTCAGATGAGACTATATAGACTATGTACGTGACTGTGGCTTCCTTTGGCACGAGGGTTGGTCTTGCCGTGCCCGAGTTCAGAGTATAGTTGCAGTGTTGCCATAACAAGAGTTTTAAGAAGGGCATCCGCCGCCGTTGTGGTTGATACAGACAGCACGGAAACGGAATCCGACTGGATGGCCTTCAAAACTGGCACAATCAGCATCGGACCGGGGTCTTTAGACGAGGTACTAACCGCAGAGGCGGTTTGTTAGTCATTGTTCACACTAATGATTTTATTACTTTCCGTGTGAATACGTACAGTGTTCGTGTTTGAGAGCTTATCATGACAGGTAGTTCCTCTTCCCGAGCACTACCGCACTGCGATTACTACAGTCCTCCCATTGCTGGGTGGAGTCGCAATACATTGAAAGGACATTAGGCCTGACACAATAGGCGCACTAGTTCTGAGTCAGTGGGATTGTGTAACATAAGGTTCGTTACGTGGAGGCTATCTAGCGGCAATGGTTGTGAGTAGGAGAGTAATCTTCATAGCTTGGGTAGAGCAGGTTGAATTTAGTTGGTTGTAGAGTAGAATGTTTGTGATGAAGAATAAAATGGGAGTGAGATACAGCAGTGAGGCTATTTATGCCTAAACGCAGGCCTCTTGTACCTCGGCCTTTACTTGTTCTACAGAGGATTTCTTTTGTTACGGCATCTTCGGTCTTGGCTCGCCTGTACCGCTATTCCGTGGCGTGACTGCGCAAATATTGAGCTTCTACGATCGAGATAATGATCGAAAGCTTTGACAACTATGCAAAGTATATTGATTCTCTCGTGAAACAGAATATGAGAATAAGCACTGTTACAGAATAGGCAAAAGCCAAGCGAGAGTAGGTAGCTGTAATAGGCGACTCTCTCGAGTAATGTGCACACAGTGCAAACACTTGCAATGCACATTAGCGTACTTTCTGGTGCAACCACTCCTTATTAGGGATCTATATGTTGAAACGTCAGATACCAAGAAACAAAGCACATTTGATGACAAATAATTTGATCAGCAGATTGTTTTACAAATGTGTGCCAAGGTGCTCTGCGAGACTGCACGTATCCCTCCCATTGGTACGTTCACAAATCAGTCTGCTAGTTAGGCGAATCATGAACGCTCTACTTAGCAATCAGAAGGAACATATTTCTCCCGGGACAGCGCATAGTAACAGGCGGTAGGGATCTTGAGAAAGGGGATATCTCACCAGAGGGTTTTCGGGGGCTTTAGTTGTCTACAGTTCAGTCTATAAAGCCGTGATTTGACTGCAAATTCAACTTTTTGATACCCGATTCCGGCAGGTTGGGATGTGGCCTGTCATTCTTTTTCTAAGATAGTTGACCTGATACGCTACATAACAAACAGAGATGAAAAAAAGGCAAGTCATAAGGCCATGATAAGTATAGCTATGAGTAATTTTACCTAAACAGAAGACGGACTTGATTTTCCGTATGACAGCGGGTCTTGAAAGGTACCGATGCTGCCGAGAAGGGAGCTCAGCTATCCGGGCCGCTTACCGGGGGCTTAGCTCTTCTTATACCTATACATTGTTAGAAAAGGACCGCATTTGATATTAGACTAACCTAATCCAGAAAGGCTGTGCACGACTTATTTCTCGGGACACCAAAGAAGGAAAGGCCCTGCTTAACAATAATACTACTACTAACCCTACTGTTACCTGACTTGTTTGACTTTACAACTTTGATTATTTGTACACATTTGGCTTAAAAAGTATTGGACTGATTGTCTCGAAAAAAGAAATGTTAGACCACACCTCAGCTTGCCCGAATCGAGCATCAAAAGGAAAGAGTGAGCAATTAACATAATTCCAATAAGCTTCTCATCCATGTTGTACAAATGCAGCGCCTTGATACTGCACTAGACGGACTCGTCCAGTAGAAGTATAAAAAAGAGTGTTTATTTTATTTCTTCTCTGGCCCGAACACGATAGCCCCAATCGACCCTATGTCGTATCGAGGCACGCCCTCTCAACACAGCAAGAGTAAGTCTGAATACCGACTTATTTCTATGGTGCAAATTACATCCAGAAAATGGCAGAAAAAAAATGTTCACAAATTCAATACTTTGAGTGATATGATCTTGAGAAGCGCCAAGCCCCGCGTATGCGTGCCTGAAGACGACAGGTCAGGATCGCTGCATCCGACGCCTCTGAAGTATTTGCCTAATACAGTCTACTTACACTACCACTAGGCGCCAACAGCCGCAGCCTCAGCCTCAGTCTGTTTGTATGCAAACACCAAACCTCCGGATTCCTTATTGCACTCCTGCCGGACAAAAAGGAAACAGCAGGGTACTTCACGATTTCTTGAGTATTCTCGAATAACACCGTGGGTTGCACAGGCGATGCAACATCAATAGGCCGTAGTCAAACATGGCAACAACTCCAAGCCAAAACAAAGAGTCGCATGTCTCCAGTGACAGCAGCAACAAGCTCACGCCAGCCCAAACCGAGGCAAGAACCATCCTCGACCACGTCTTCACTCAACTCCAATCCCACCCCCACTACAACCCCACCTACGGCCCCTGGATCCAGCGCAACGGCCCCTCCCAGCTCCTCAACTTCTGCCATACACTCGTCCTGCCCCAAGCCTGGAATTTCCTCTCCCACCGCTGGTCTCTAGATGCCTTAAAACCGCTATCGGGGGATCTGCGCTACTCGGGCCGCGCCATCTACCTCGACGGCATCCTAGGCCTCGACAAGCGCCTGCGCATCTACGTTGGACAGAGCCATAATCTGCGGGCTCGCGTGGCGCAGCATCTGAACTTCAGGTACAGAAGGGATCACAGCTCGCTGCACTACTTTGCCCTGCAGGAGAGCGTGTACAATGTGCTTGGCGCCGTCATTATTTTACCGGCTGCGAACAGTGGGCCGGGCACGGATGACATGGCGTTGCTGATGAACGTACTCGAGTTATGGATGTGTCTTGTTTTTCGGTCTTTGCCAATGCAGTTGCTTGAAGAGTGGCTGCCAGATGATGGGTCGGTAGAGAGGAAAAGGAAAGTAGGGAAAGAGGGTGTGGTGGGAGGACTCAATGTGGCATGCCCGCTTGATCAGGGTAGGGAAGAGAGGGTGTTTGTGGATTTAAGTCATGACGAGGATCCGCTTGTCAAGGCGTATTTGAAAGAGGCTAGGAGGAAGAAGGAGGAGAGGGAGGAGGGGGGTGAGGTGGTGAGAAGGAAGGAAGCGTATGCAGAGACGGCGAGGGGGTACAAGGGAAGAGATGGAGACATACGTGTTCCGCAATGGGTCTTTTTCAGTGTACTGGCAGGGGTTCTGGGGTATGTCTTAGTTAGTAGTAGAGTTGGACAGAGGCTTCGATGATGGATGAGATAGAAATAGAGAAACACAGTTCATGTGACAATCACGCTAGCGTTACTTTTGGACTCACGAGATGGCCGCGGCAAGATTCAATCAATTTTGGCTAGTCTTCTGTTGATATTGATACATAATATTCAGCATGCTGAATGGAAAACAAGAAAATAATCGTATAGTACCCAGAAGACTACAGTCCAGCTGCGAGTTCCTGCTTTTCCACATTGCACTACGAACGTCAGACTAGAAATGCCGAATAGCCTACAATTGCCGCCCAGCATCACCCAGATCCTCAAGTTAAATAGCAGTGCGCTGGTTTCGGTGCGTAAAATCACCACGCTTTGCAATAGTACCATTCACACACTTTGTGCCTCCAGCTACGGGCATCATGACTGCCTTTCTAAAGTTACAAAGACCGTATTGCGTGCCGTCGGGTGAGCAGACGAGTTGCCCATCGGTAGAGCAAGGAGTGCCACTAGAAGATCCAGAGCCTGGGGCTGCTCCAGCTGGAGGATGAGGTGTGATGGGACTCGGGGCTGGAGCTGGAGCTGGAGCTGGAGCTGGAGCTGGAGCTGGAGCGGCAGTAGGATAAGCTGTATCAGGGCCTTGAGAAGGTTGAGCGGGCGTGGGCTTGGGAGCTGGAGCGGCACTACAAGCGGAAGGTGCCATAACACCACCTGGATTGGTGGGCACAGAAGCCATAGGCGCAGTGACGGTCTTGACAGTACGGAAGGTTGAAGGCATCGTAGATCCAGCATCCGATGCAGCTGGTGCCTGTGAGGAAGCCCCAGCGGCACCATCAGAGCCACTATCCCCGCCACCACCACTACGACCCACTCCAGGCTGCGAAGGTGTACCCGCGCAAAGATCCATAAATGGACCCTCGCCAACTGTCGTGCCAAACATGCCTGGATTCGCAAACGTATAGTCGGCCCCCTCTTTCGTCGTACCGCACGAGCCCGGAACGTTGACATTCGCAATCGCCATGTCGGGAAGTGCATCCAGACCCGATGCATCATCTGCGCCACCAGTGACTGAAACAGACGCGCAGTTCATGTACATTTCGCGGTTGCCAATCTTGTTGAACCACGTCCAGGCCACAGTCAAGTCTCCGGTTGGAAGATCCTGGGGGACGGTAAAGGGGAAAGTGCCGTCGTAGCTGGGGCCATTCTGATTCAGGTTGCCCTCTACGTTGGCAGGACATCCGCCTTCGATGCTGTAAATGACTTTCCACTTGGAATCTTTGGTGGGTGTTTTGTCGGTGGTTACGCTCATCTGGCAGCTGCCGCCGCCGTGGACAGCAGTGCCCGAGAAGGCGAGGGATTGGGTTGAGCCAGCGGGCCACTGGTTTACTGTAGCAGATCCGCTGGGCGAGCCCTTGCAAGGGAAGTCGGAACCATCTGGGACGAGTGGCGAGTTGTTCGGGGCGTTGAAGGGAACCGGGCTCGCCATTATCATGTGAGCGCTGGAGAGAGGCGCCATGGCCGCCAGGGCCGTGGTAGCGAGAAGAGTAGTCTTCTTGGTAGGCATTTAGGCTACTATGACTGCGAGAAGAGGTGTTTTGTTACTCAGAAAAGGAGTGGTTTGAAGTCTAGTTATCAGCCAGTTGGACAAGTTGGTATGTTTGGTGTGGCAGGACAAGGAAAAATATCAGTAGTCTTTATGTAGTTTATCGCGCTGAAGGTGAGGAAAGTGTTGTGGAACTGAAGAACAATAACCACTGTGATTGTGTGATCTCACAATAGCTTCACAATGAGACATGTCAAGGGACTGGTGGCTGTCAATTGTGAAAGTGAAGGTGAATGCTGGATGACGAGTGTGTTGGACGTCACCAGCCAGTGAATTCGAAATCTTCCGGGACTTGTCGATGTGGAAATGGTCCGGATCTTCCAGGAGTAATAGGAGAAGCTGGGTGGATTCTATGTTGAACGATTTTGAAACGACTCGTCGTGCACATGACGGGAAAAGCATGGAGAGATGTCAGTTGGGAAATTTGAGGATAAGACAGTAGCGTGATAACGATTGATCAAGGCAAATAAAGAAAAAGAGAAGCTGAAATACTTTCCATATTATCTTTGTATTTGTGATGTATGGAGTGAAATGCATGTGATAAGTCTTGAATTAGCCATGGTCTCCGAGTTGGATAGATCGATGTGGTACACACCAACTTCGAGTTTTCTAGAATAGGTGTAATTTTAGCTCAATATATACAAATCCATCCCAAGAAA